ACCATATATCAAAATATCAACCATACACCTAGTGTTAGATTGGATACCGCTCAACCATGCAGATTTTATACTGAATTGTTTATTTAATGAAACGAAATCCCACTGTATATGAATAACCATTAGAAAAATAAAACCATAATTATGTAGTTTAATCGTCATCATTCAAGTAAATAATTCAAATATAAAAGTATTTAAACAAACAAAGAAACAAATAAATAAATAAATACAAGACACTAAGCTCGCATTCAGATACATGAATATACATGTATATGACTTTTGGTCTAGAAAGATAGGATCATCTTATATACGAAGGTGGGCACGGGTGGCCCAGTCGTCTAAGGCGCCGCGATTCGCTGTGCAGAGTTGCGTCCCTTGGACACGCCAGAAACCTATGATTGTGGGTTCGAATCCCGGTTCGCCCCGATTATGTTTCTAGGTTTATCAGCACCATACCCGTGCTGTGGGTACCACAGAAGTGGTAAACGTCTGAGACCTGCATCACTTCGGGCTTTCCTCCCACATTAAGCTGACACGCCGTGATATAACTGGAATTTTGTTAAAAGCAGGGTTAAACCCAACTCACTCACTTAGACACTTATATACGAATCATAATGGACTCCGTTGACGGAGTTGGTTTCTAATTATATTTCAACATAATGGTCTCCAAGACGTCCCCCTGGAGGTGTAAAAAGTCCTCCAATGTGCAAATGACGTCATCATCATTTGCATAATGCTTACCAGACAGTTCTTTCTTCAAGTTTGGGAAGACGCGAAAATCTGACGAGGCAAATCTACTGAATACGAGGGATTTTCAATGTATTCAAAGCCACAGTCAACAGACGCATTGTCCTGGTGGAGCAACACGGCAGTTTTCCACCACGTTTAGCCTTAAGATTTTTACGCAGTTGCCAAAGCAGATTAGCACAATATTGGTCATTAGTGGACTGGGACCCGTGAAGGTTCGGGGTAGAATAGCAACCCATGCTTGCTGTAAAAGGCGACTAACGAGATCGGGTGGTCAGGCTCGCTGACTTGGTTGATGCATGTCATCGTATCCCGATTGCGTAGATCGATGGTCATGATGTCAATCACTGGATTGTCTGGTCCAGATGCGATCATTTACAGACCGCCGTCACATAGCTGGAATATTGCTGAGTGCGGCGTTAAACAACAAACAAACAAACAAACATTAACGGCCTGGCCTTTCGGTAGGCACCTTGCCAGCTGATGAAACAGACTTTGCCTTCGTCGTCATCGGAGACGTTAGATGTTTCCACACCGTTGTTTAGTCTCTGGTTGATAGTAGTAAACCCAAGATTCGTGGTTACTAATCGCTAAACAACATGAGCTGGGATTTTAAATTCTCCCCCAAAATACTTGCAAAAATAATTATGCTTTAGACTGTTGAAAAAAAGAAGGCTCGGTGATTATGTTGCCATTGTAACCCGAAGGCTGGTGAAATTGTTCATGCTTTAGTTTCGGAAACTGGTTTGTCTGGTCCAGACTCAATTATTTGTTGTTCTCCGTGATATAGTGGGAATATTCTGTGACAGCGGCGTTAAACTGCTTGTACTTACTATACCACCGATACCCAAACTCTCAAACTGAATACTTACATCTGCAAAATTGGCCGAGCGGTAACCTTTAATGGCATTTCCACATTTAGACGATTATACATGTAAAATGTCGTGTACTTTTTGAGGATATATTTTCGATAATGGATGAAGAAGGAACCCGCGATATAAGATCAAGTGAAATAAAACAGCTTCAGCGATAAAGTTTCCTCTTACAGACAAAAACAAAGATGGAGCAGATGGTGGTTTTGGTTATCATAAGCCGATATATAAAAACTTCAAAGAAAGTTCGCAGTGTGCAATGGCGATAGTTGTAATTTGTAATCGTTAACACATGTCCTTTTTCCATCTTCGCCTGAGATATATCCCTGTTTTAGTCTACTTTAGACGTCGTAACACTTGACAGCAGCTATCCCCAAATGACGACATGACTAGCAACTAATGCCGACCGACTTTTTTAACGTCAATCCTACTTTTGACCACTTCGTTTTGTTTTCCCAGTTGAATATGTATTTTCTAGTTGTCTTCCTTTGAAAAGAACAAAACCCAATACGGACAATTTCCATCAGGGCATAATGGCGATTATTTCGACAAATTGTCCTCTCGGACTCCGTTTGAGACTCAATTAGCTGCATATGATCTTTGCTTGAATTCCCTATGCTCAAATTTCGTTGGCTATATTGTATTTATTACACTATGATAAAAAGATATAATTCTCTAATGCTAATACCAGTCATTACAATAAAGGAGACGGCCATGCTATTAAGTGGGTGTTGACATTAGCCCGACAATAACTGCTAGTTTTTAACATACGGTTCATAAATAATTTCTTTTGAAAAGAAACTAGTTATAGATGTATTTGTCTTTGAAGACAAAGCTGATATTTATATGGGTGTCGGTCATTGTGTTATAATCACATAACGTTATGACAGTGCACAAGAATTAGCATTTATAGTGAGTGAAAATCGTTTCGTAAAAAAACACTTGGCTTTGAAAATTGAAGCAAATAAACATTTTGACAAATTAAGTTATTAGATGTTGCATAAATGGAAATTGTAGCAACGGAAATAAAAGCAGATGTTGTTGTGTGTTTTTTTAAACGAATACGATAAACAAAATCTATGGAAATTGTCTACCGTTTTTACAGCAGTTCCCCTTTGTTGTAGATGAGAAAAGTGCAGAAATTGGCCCCGAGACTAAAACACTTTCCAAAAGAGTTTTCACGGAAGATTTCCCTTGTGTCTCAAAATTATCTATGTTAATAGGCCTTAGCCATTTGGATACATGCCAGCGATAATCATTGCTCCTAAACAAATGTGACACCTACAATGGAAGTCTCTAACCTATTTTGAACCATTGACAATATTCATAGAATACAAGCGCCTGAAATGTTTAACAACCTTGTCTTGATAATCATATAGAAACAGGCATACAAGAACACTTTGTTTAACTGTCTGTGCGATGTCCCTGCTTTGATATATGTAAATGGGGTTCAGCTTCCCACATAGTTACAATGTGCGATTCCACTATTGGTGCTCTCCGCCGTGATGTTTTTGGAAGTGCTGAAACCTGTGTACAAGCTTACTCACTCACCGACTTACGTCAGTCTGCCATCGGCAATTGAACTGGAGTGAGTGATTTGAACAGTATTTCAGTGATACCAAGGGATCAGCTTAACTGTATTGCAGACCTTAGACTTAACACTTGAAACCAATCAGACATAACATGGTGCCGATAAACCAAGAAACATCATCAGGACGAACGTGGGATTCGAAACCAAGATCACAGGTTTCTTGCACGTTTATTTGACCAATGTGAAGGTCCCGGTAAGAAATTGGTCTTCAGCAACCCATGCTTGTCGTAAGAGGCGACTAACGGGATCGGGTGGTCAGGCTCGCTGACTCGGTTGATGCATGTCATGGCATTACCATTTGCTGAGATCAATGCTCATGATGTCAACCCCTAGATTGTCTGGTCCACACTAGATTATTTACAGATCGCTGTCATATAGCTAGAATATTGCCGAGTGCGGCGTTAAACAAAAAAAACCAGTGGCCTGTTACTTATAAAGAAAGAACCATTTAAGCAAGTGGTAGATGGTGTGAGCACCAACTACGTCCTCAGACTAGATCAGTCACTTCACTGAGGTCAGTTGGCCTTTCGTGGTAGTCTTCCCGTCCAGTATTATCCATACGCAATAGCCTCTGGAGGCTCGGTGGCCTTAGCCAATACATAGAGTACTGTGCCTACCGTTCCTGCAATACAGAAAATCCCCAGGATCTGACAAGGATTTTTACTCCAGTGTGGTTTAACGTATGACACATAATTCAAACACATTGACTTCCAATAACCTGGGGCCGCAGTGAATTCTGGCAGTTATCAACAGGGATACTTCCTTAACCAAGATCCATGCAGCCTTTGATGTTCAATAAAAAAAATTGTAATTCCGTAGTGTTTCAAAGAAGAAGAAAGATTAGTTTGATCAAACCAGACAGCTGTCATGTGTCAGTATAAGTATAAAGTGCACAGTCTTGGGTTGATTCAATAACTTCTGGTCCATCTGTCATCACATACTGTATCAAACCAGCAATCATTTATATATCTGTTTCATCAAATAAGGGTGACATTAACGAGTAAAACAAATTTACTTCAAAGTATTTAGGTTTTGTAAATTATATACAGGAGTTGACATGTAACATCTAGGCTTTTAGATATTCGAGAGTTTGTCATTCTTTTGGATTCAATTTCTTATGAATATGGAAAGGGTCGTGTCGCTTCTATTTTATTTGGAAGTGCAAACAAATCCATTTTGATGCCTTGTGTAAACATTCAGGCAACAGATCAGAGAGATGCATGAACAATTTATAGCTGAAATGACTGTGATAAAGGGAAACAAAATAATAGCTTTTTCATTTATGGGAGACATATAAAAATGGCACATCGGAATTCTATATAAAAATGTTAAGCGTCGTCATTGCTGGGAACGGAACTGAAAAGTTGTACCTCTTTTTTTCAGATTATTTAAGAATGACGTCACTATGTGTTTTTGCGTTTATGGAGGTATAAACGTAAAAGAACGGTGAGCACACTTTCTCGTAAATCCGCTACGCGAATGTGCACATTATGCACACCGGATGTTTCGTATATATCACCTTAAACACAGATACATATAGAAGTCAATTCTCATAAATAACTACGTCAACAATAATAACTTCACATACTGCTTATTTATGCATTAACATAATAAAACTAGGGACAACACGAACTCGGTGACCTACATCATTAAGCGCACTAATGGAACACAAGCCCCGCCCTTTCTATTAACAGTCGATCAAGACACAATGGGCCATTAGTAGGCGTGGCCTTATGTTTTTTAGTTGTCTTGGTTAACTAATCACAATTATACAAATGACACACACACAAACAAACAATGACACATAAAGTTTATTGAAAATAGTATACATTTTAGTGTTAAGAGTATATAGTTTACATCACATGCCAAATAAGTGATAAGGCTGAACAATGAACACACACTTAACTGGATGTATATCATTAACGTTTTATTCCTTTGCACTTAATCAAATTACATCCTAGTATATAAGTATATGTTTTATAAAGCTATGGAACATCAACAGTCAAAAAAACTGTTTTAACGTAAATCATGACAGTAAGTGATTCAGTCTCACCACTGAATTACCTTTTTTAATATTACTGGTTAATTGTTTTTATCAAAGAGAAATTATTTTTTAGTTTAGATGATATGTGGTAAATAAAACATCAGGACAAGATTCTAGCAAGTCTTGACGCTGAAACCTTAAAGTTAAACCTTGCGCATGTCAAATATGTTATGGAACATTTTTTTTTATTTTCAGACGAAAAGAAATAGTTTTGCATGTTACTTTGTTACTAGTGAATGAGGTGACATCTTGTTTTACAATAGGTATATCAACAACCATCCTCTCAGAAGGAAAGAAGAGTTTGAAGCCTTGTGCCAGCTAATCAATGGAATCACTGACCAGATGCAGTGAGAAGTGAGTGAATATTGCTCAATAACAAGATCTGTATTAGTTACATCTTCATATTAAGTTGTGATGTGATACAATTTAAGAAGTACATAAATTGTCTGATAATATACATTGTGCATTTTAGTCGTTCTTGTCAGATTTACAGCAAAAAGGCAACTTTCATCAACTGCTGGGTAGATTACAATAAACACTTATTTGCAATCTATCCTTCATGTGTATTGTAACCAAGTTAAAGCTATGGTGTTATTTAACTCAAGCATATTCAACCATTCATTATACCTGAGGACATCAAGATATGTTCAAAATGATCCTCGGTTACATCAACTTATGACAACTTCCCAAAAGAAAAAGCATGGGCATGCTATTACTCATGTTTCAACCTTTGTTAATAGATTAGTCACCCTTTAAAAAACAGATACTGAAGTCACTTTTTTCAACCATGAAATACCCCAAGTGTATTTTACTCTAGTGGAAGACTTCCAAACTAAATACTGTACTATGCAATTTTCTAAAATCTCATACCAAATATGACTACAGATATAAAGTAGAAAAGTACTGTACAATCACTTTAGAAAACAGGTAAAACCCCAAATGAATTACAAAAAAATATGAAGAAATCGTAGAAATATTGAAAGTGAAAGTAATTCTCCAAAGCATAGCCATGATAACATCCTAGGTCAGTCAGGATAATAATCTAACAGTTCTTAACAAAATGCCAACACATACTCAATGTGTAAAGTAACACAGGAAATAAGAATATTTCTTATTCAGGTTTTAGAAAACTAGAATCAGGCACTGATAATCTGGAGGGAGTTAACAGAATGCATAAATTACACAATTTACAATCTTTGTAAGATAAATTTCAATATATCACATCTTATTTTCAAAATATACTCTTCATAAAAATAATGTCACGGCACACTTGTGTTACCTGGTGCATAGGTCAGAGTACAGAGGTCAATAAGTTCAAAGTTCACATTGGCTTATGACATAATTATTTGAGTATGTACAAATACATAAGGAATGCTTTAGAAGTGATCACAAATAATTTACATTTTGATTCTAAGGTATATTCTATCAATGAAATAATTCAAACTGCTGCCTAATAAGCATGTTAATGATGTCGTCCTCACCAATGGAAAATACATTAAATAGTTACCTGGTGTCAAAATTCAAGGTCTCTTATTTTTTAACCTCATTTCAAAAATAGTATCTTGTCAGAATAAAAAGGTTATAAGCACACAAAATTATTTTCAGTGTGCATACAGCTTTAGATGCCAAGACCAACAGGCATGATAAAGTGCTGTGTTGTCAATCTTGTCAGGTTATCTTATTAAAAGGGTGCAAGGCACTATTGACAAGTCTACAGACAGTGGATGCACATACCTTATACCATCTGCACTGACCTACCTTGTACACAGGAAGGGTCAAGGGTCAAAGGTCTTCTGTGAGTGTTACAACATCACCAGAACACTCTCCCAGTGCTTGACACTTGTCAGTGGTCCAAAGGACCAGCACCAGAAAAGAATTTACTGTTCCTGTTGGATCTCTACCAGCCACAATGGTGCTTAGAGTTTAGAATTGATCTATTGCTGATTTCAAAAGTCATACAAACTTAAATTTCTTTGTTCTTCCTAAAAACAACACTAGACCACCGGACCATTTCATTTTACTGGTCCTTAAGCAAATATACTAGACTGGGACCAGTGGACCAGTGTTAGTGCCCGAGCAGTGCTCTTCTAAAGTTTGGACTTCCCAGCTTGGCAACCATTAATCAGCTCTACAGCAGTGAAATTTCAAAACAATAATCACCACTATATATGATAATTAGAATACCACATTCTACTAATGCACCAACTTTTATTCAAACTATGACTTTTCAGAATAAATGGGTGAAAAGAAATATAAATGTATTCTATTGAGCATACTATGTTAAACAAATCACAAAGCGACAGGAGTAGAACTGCCTGGGCCTGGTGTGCAGGGGAATGCAAATACACGCTATCACACACTATACACAGATCCATCTCTGGTGCAATCGGCATCATTACATTCAACTCCTAAGCTTCAACCAGTTAACAGTAAACAAAACTCTCTCTTCATACTGCATCAGTCACAACTGCATATTAATGAAAGACTGTTATACCTGGCGGAACACTTTACAAAGTTTTTCATTTTGCATGTAACTGTGACACCCAAGCCTGTTGGAATGAATTAGACCAGCATCTACTGTGTTTGCGGTAATATTACACAACAAGCATTTGGAATGATTAACATGTGACAGCGGTGACTATGAAGTAGGACAATGATATATCTGTACAACAATAACAACAACGGAGGTACATGTATAAGGACCCCTCATGAAATATTGCTGATTACACAAATCTGTTACTAAGAACAGTTGAGGAATTGATAAAGTCATAAAATAAAACAATTACACATTCAATTAGGCACAGACATATTTTCTTGTTAAGCAGAATATTATATTGAAAAAAGATTTTTGTTTCATTAAAAGTTTCTTACTTCAACTTCCCTCAGTTTCGGCTTCTCGTTAATGCCCTTAAAGTGAAATAAAAATATAACCTTGTCACATCATTTTCAAAATAATTGTTATCAATTAGTATCTGATAATATATTCCTATTTTTTTATTACATCTCTCAGCTGCACTCAAACATGACATATTAATTTTTTTCCATACAATACAAAAAAACAAATTATTCAAATCCACTTGCACATAAACCGAATCAATTATACCATACCATTCAATGTTTATCATTAAACTGTTTAAAATGACCGCAACAGTAAATTGAACGAATAGAAAAACAAATATAGAATTGTTAACACTAAGCAATGAGAAGTATTCCTGATCGTCCAGATTTTCTCGCAGAGTAAGGGAGGTAACTCTTGACTGCTATAGGGACTATACAGATGTCTTTTAGTAATTTGGTACACAAATCAAAATGAACAAAAAGCAACATTAGAAGGATTACTGAGGAATCAAACAAATAATACCTGTGTGTTAGTGTGAGTGTGTGTGTGTGTGTGTGTGTGTGTGTGTGTGTGTAAAGTATAGGAAAGTTTACACAAAAAAGGTTAAATTTCATTGAACTTTTCATCCCCATCTTTCCTGATGATTCTCTATGTATGTTCCTCCTTCGTACAAGTGCATACAAATATATAAGCAGGAGTACATGGTTGGTTGTAACTGACAGGGTTGAAGAACTGTTATTGCTTTAAGTAAATGAAAATATTTCAATACCAAGAAAGAAGAATAAGACTTAAATTGGAAATCTTATTGTCCTTTTCAAACAACTACTTAACACAAATATATCAAAAGGTCTACAACAAATGTTGATACAAAAATGGCAAGAAGGTAAATGATAACACTACTAAAATAAGTTAGGTGTTTCTGCTTCTAGTTGCCATGGTTACGGGGTCAGTTTCAAACCACCACTTCAAAGCACACTTTCAGGATATGTTCAGTGTGTTGCATACAGAAAAGGATCATCCATATTTGTTTCCTTTGTTTTTTAAAGCTGTCTTGACTTAGCTATCTAACAGAAATATGAACTCTTAATGACAAAACACCATGTTAACTTAAGTGTCAATGTGTTAACTGAATTTTCAACATGTTACATACATTTTCAACATGTTAACTGAAGAATCAATGTCAACTGAAGTATCAACGTGTCAACCCAACTCTATATCAAGGGATACATATCGATGATCCATGTTTCCTGTTCTTGTAACTTTTGACATTTGGTTTCATTGCAGAGAAACAACCAGGACAATTTAGACAACATATTCAAGAAAGGTTCAAAACTGAATGACAGGTGATAATGATATAACATGCATTCTGAAGAGAGCTATACCATTACCAGGTATTTAAAGAAACCATATTTAACAGGTCTGACTGGCACTCAAAGCAACAGACAAGGCTTTGACCAGTAACAGAACTTGGCACCATCAGTCAGTCTAATGGTACAGGCATCCTGACAGCTAGTACATTTTCTGGTTTTATTTGTTAATTTCTGCTGCTGTTAAAGAGCCTTATTTTGATCAAGTTGTCTTTCCGATCACATGTATTTCAGCATTGGAGACATGGAATATTCTGAATAATTTATTCTAAAAAAGGTGTGACAGGAAAAACTATAGAAATTAGATCCTTAAGTGATCATCACATGACCAAACTATAAAGGGAAAGTGAATGTCCCTGTATAAGGATTCTATTTCAACATCCATCCTCTTCCAACAACACTGGCCACAGTCCAAATAAAGTATTCTGTAGTCTTCATGTGAATAGCAAAACGATCCACACATATTTCTTGTTCTTAGAATGCCATTCAGACCACATTCACCAAGTTGATTTTTGTGACTTCTAGGTAATGCTTCTCATTAAATTTGTGTTACCATGGTTATATGCACATTCGGTTGCCTTGATATGCATTTCAATTTCATGATTTCCGTTTTAATGACAATTGGGTCAACAACACATATCTGGGACTTGTAATGGCATAACACCAACTAATCTTCTTGCTCATCTAGTTCAGCACCACAGTTCAAGATGAAACTAAATGGGGCCCTGTCAATAATAACATCAGCCCTGTAACCTGTATTAATTGTTCATCTCCATGTAATAGGACAGCAATGATAGTGAAAGTCAGCCTTACAGCTGCTGGTGCATGATGTTTAGTGATGCAACTATATCTGCATACAACGAATATCCAGGACAAATAATGCCTGAAAACTCCAATATACTGGTTAACGTCTAGCCCTATTGCATTTCATTGTTTAATGAAATCAGACATGTTTCTGTTCCTATGACCTGATTTAAGTAATTCCAATTCTCATTTTAGGTGAGGCTTTGGTGATGGTGAAGCTACATGATAAAAAACATGTGCAATGGTGGTATTCTTAACTGCAACAGCACTATTCATGGCATCAAACATGGCTGACGAATGGAACTACCCACAAAGGGTTGACTTACTACACCGCCAGCAACATTGTCATACATCTTGAGCTATCCTGACATATAGACAAAGCTCTGCCTCAGTTTACCATGTTCCAAATGCAATCCCTGTCTCTCTGACAATGTCAGCATACCAGACAATGTTTCTCTGACGATGTCTCAGTAGACCCAGTTGACTGGAACCCACTGCTGGAGGACCTCCATGTCTCCCAGTAACTTGCGTATGGATCGGAACGTTTCTTCAAAGCTGTCATTCACAATGGTTTCATCAAAATATGCCTTGTACACCTGCTCGATCTGAGCACTCTCTTGCACTGTACGGATAAAATCTTCCTCCTGGAAAACATGAAACAAGAAATCAGTGAGTGCATGTTGCTTACTGCTGCAAGCAGCAATGGTCCAGCCATATCACAGCAGCCTGTACATATTTCCCGGCAAACCAGTGACTGCAAGCAGCAATGTTCCAGCCATATCACAGCAGCCTGTACATATTTCCTGGCAAACCAGTGACTGCAAGCAGCAATGGTCCAGCCATATCACAGTAGCCTGTACATATTTCCTGGCAAACCAGTGACTGCAAGTACAAGCAATGGTCCAGCCATATCACAGCAGCCTGTACATATTTCCTGGCAAACCAGTGACTGCAAGCAGCAATGGTCCAGCCATATCACAGCAGCCTGTACATATTTCCCGGCAAACCAGTGACTGCAAGCAGCAATGTTCCAGCCATATCACAGCAGCCTGTACATATTTCCTGGCAAACCAGTGACTGCAAGTACAAGCAATGGTCCAGCCTTTATCACAGCAGCCTGTACATATTTCCTGGCAAACCAGTGACTGCAAGCAGCAATAGTCCAGCCATATCACAGAAGCCTGTACATATTTCCCGGCAAACCAGTGACTGCAAGCAGCAATGTTCCAGCCATATCACAGCAGCCTGTACATATTTCCTGGCAAACCAGTGACTGCAAGTACAAGCAATGGTCCAGCCATATCACAGCAGCCTGTACATATTTCCTGGCAAACCAGTGACTGCAAGCAGCAATGTTCCAGCCATATCACAGCAGCCTGTACATATTTCCTGGCAAACCAGTGACTGCAAGCAGCACTGGTCTAGCCACATCACAGCAGCCTGTACATATTTCCTGGCAAACCAGTTACTGTGAGCAGCAATGGTCCAGCCATATCACAGCAGCCTGTACATATTTCCTGGCAAACCAGTGACTGCAAGCAGCAATGGTCCAGCCTTTATCACAGCAGCCTGTACATATTTCCTGGCAAACCAGTGACCGCAAGTATAGCAATGTTCCAGCCATATCACAGCAGCCTGTACATATTTCCTGGCAAACCAGTGACTGCAAGCAGCAATGGTCCAGCCTTTATCACAGCAGCCTGTACATATTTCCTGGCAAACCAGTGACTGCAAGCAGCAATGGTCCAGCCTTTATCACAGCAGCCTGTACATATTTCCTGGCAAACCAGTGACTGCAAGCAGCAATGGTCCAGCCATATCACAGCAGCCTGTACATATTTCCTGGCAAACCAGTGACTGCAAGCAGCAATGGTCCAGCCATATCACAGCAGCCTGTACATATTTTCCGGCAAACCAGTGACTGCAAGCAGCAATGTTCCAGCCATATCACAGCAGCCTGTACATATTTCCTGGCAAACCAGTGACTGCAAGCAGCAATGTTCCAGCCATATCACAGCAGCCTGTACATATTTCCTGGCAAACCAGTGACTGCAAGCAGCAATGTTCCAGCCATATCACAGCAGCCTGTACATATTTCCTGGCAAACCAGTGACTGCAAGCAGCAATGTTCCAGCCATATCACAGAAGCCTGTACATATTTTCCGGCAAACCAGTGACTGCAAGCAGCAATGGTCCAGCCATATCACAGCAGCCTGTACATATTTCCTGGCAAACCAGTGACCGCAAGTATAGCAATGTTCCAGCCATATCACAGCAGCCTGTACATATTTCCTGGCAAACCAGTGACTGCAAGCAGCAATGGTCCAGCCTTTATCACAGCAGCCTGTACATATTTCCTGGCAAACCAGTGACTGCAAGCAGCAATGTTCCAGCCATATCACAGCAGCCTGTACATATTTCCTGGCAAACCAGTGACTGCAAGTACAAGCAATGGTCCAGCCATATCACAGCAGCCTGTACATATTTCCTGGCAAACCAGTGACTGCAAGTACAAGCAATGGTCCAGCCATATCACAGCAGCCTGTACATATTTCCTGGCAAACCAGTGACTGCAAGTACAAGCAATGGTCCAGCCATATCACAGCAGCCTGTACATATTTCCTGGCAAACCAGTGACTGCAAGTACAAGCAATGGTCCAGCCATATCACAGCAGCCTGTACATATTTCCTGGCAAACCAGTGACTGCAAGTACAAGCAATGGTCCACGCCATCAGGGTACAATGAGCATGCAACCATCTGAGTCACAGACCACCATATGCCCATTGAAACTCATTGTTGGCTTGTTTGATACAGTCAATGTGTAAAATGACTGAAGTTGTAAAGGCAATTTACAAAAGGACAAAATATTTCAATCCTTCTACAATTATTGTTCTATTTATGACAATGCATTCCAAACATTCTTATGTTCTATTTCATCACCCTGTGACTGAAAATGATAAGATTTAAGGTGTGTGAGTGAGTAAAGATTTATAGTCATATCTGCAATATTTCAGCCATATTGTGACTAAATCAAGTTATACAATAATAACACATACTGTTGGAAGATAAAACCTGGCGACAAAGGACAGTAAAACAATTTGATTATCACAGATCTATATTTTAAGACTAGCGATGAGACTTAAAGATGCGAAAGTCAATGTATATCTTTTTTATATTTTATGGCTTCTTATCCTAGTCTATTGTGGTGTTTTTAAGCCCTTTTGAACTTCTACGCCAGTTAGGTTAGGAGGAACTATACACTTGTCACACATCAACAGGACACAGGTAAACACTTGATGATATTTATTGGCAACCCTCGAAGCGAGCACAAACCCCGACTGAGCCTCCAAAGACACGCGAGCCTCCAAGGGGAGCTAACTCTGCTTACATTAATACATGCCAAGCAAACCTGCATTGGCGCTAAATATCTTTTAGTTAATCTGATAAAGAAATTATTGTAAAAAGACAATTGATGCCTGTAAATTGCCGAAATGAAAATTTCAGTCATTTTACACATTGACTGAATTTAGACATTGACTGTAGCATGTATAATGCACACACCCTCTGCACAGCTGTATTGCTGTTACTTTTAAAAGTGCATTATACCTAAGTAAATATGGTATTGTAACCACCCAAACCTCACTTGTTTACTTTCCTGAAAAGCTCGGGTATTGGGGGCTAATTTTGCTACTTCATGAAAAACAGAGGAGTAATAACATAAGGAAGGGGGTTATAAGTGTCCTACGGCTTACAAACAAAACAAATTTTCTGCAAAGTAACTCCAGTATATTTGTGGATTAGCAGTAAACATAACTCTGATTTGACCTTTGGATATCTAGCAATAAATGAATCTTACCGATCTCAGTTCCACCATGTTGACTCCTCTTTTGTCCTGCAACATACATATTGCGAATGTCTTGAAAGCCCGTAAAACTAAACCACAAACTGAATGTAACAGAAGTGGTACTAATAAAGGGTGAAGGCACTGAGCATAAGATTGGGAAGGGTTATGCCCCTTTGACCTGTTACAGTTACAAGTTTAAGGCACAGTCAGGGATTGAGCCAGGGGGTGTTTCTGAGAAGGGTCAGTGGAAGGGATCTTAGGACGGCCATGGAGGGTTGGTGGAAAGTCTCTGGAAAAGCGTAGGGAATAGGGGTGATTGCCAGGGAGGAAGAGGGAAGGGGGTCCAGGGTAGGGATCTAAAGAGGGACAATGGAAGGAAAAGGGGAGGGTCTAGAGAGGGCCAGTGGATGGGATAGGGGAGTGGTCTAGAGGGGGCCAGTGGAGGGACAGTGGAATGGTCTAGGGAGGGCCAATGGAGGGCCAGTGGAATGGTCTAGAGAGGGCCAGTGGAGGGACAGTGGAATGGTCCAGGGAGGGCCAGTGGAGGGGCAGGGGAGTGGTCTAGGGAGGGACAGGGGAGGGGTTTAGGGAGGACCAGTTGAATGGACAGGGGAGTGGTCTGCGGAGGACCAATAGAGGGATAGAGAGTAGTCTAGGGAGGGTCAGTGGAGAGCCAGGGGAGTGGTCTAGGGAGGACCAGTTGAATGGACAGGGGAGTGGTCTAGGGAGAGCCAGGGGAGGGATAGGGAGTAGTCTAGTTAGGTCCAGTGGATGGGAAAGGGGAGGGGTGTGGGCAGGGTCTAGGGTGGGCCAGTGGATGGGATAGGGGAGTGGTCAAGGGAGGGCCAGTGGAGGGCCAGTCGAATGGTCTAGGGAGGGACAGTGGAATGGTCTAGGGAGGGCCAGTGGACTGGTCTAGGGAGGGCCAGTGGAGGGACAGTGGAATGGTCTAGAGAGTGCCAGTGGAGGGCCAGTCGAATGGTCTAGGGAGGGCCAGTTGAATGGTCTAGGGAGGGCCAGTTGAGTGGTTTAGGGAGGGCCAGTGAAGGGACAGTGGAATGGTCTAGAGAGTGCCAGTGGAGGGACAGTGGAATGGTCTAGGGAGAGCCAGTGGAGGGACAGGGGAGTTGTCTAGTTAGGTCCAGTTGGGTCTGGGGAGGGTCTAGGGTGGGCCAGTGGAAGGGAAAGGGAAGGGGTCTGGGGAGGGTCTAGGATGGGCCAGGGGAAGGGATTGGGGAGTGGTCTGGGGAGGGTCTAGGATGGGCAAGTGGAAGGGATAGGGAAGGGGTCGGGGGAGGGTCTAGGGTGGGCCAGTGGAAGGGATAGGGAAGGGGTCTGGGGAGGGTCTATGGAAGGGATAGGGAAGGGGTCTGGGGAGGGTCTAGGATGGGCCAGTGGAAGGGAAAGGGAAGGGGTCTGGGAAGGGACTAGGGTGGGCCAGTGGGAGGGAAAGGGAAGGGAAAGGGAAGGAAAAGGGAAGGGGTCTGCGGAGGGTCTAGGCTGGGCCAGTGGAAGGGATAGGGGAGTGGTTTTGGGAGGGTCTAGGGTGGGCCAGTGGAAGGGATTGGGGAGTGGTCTCGGGAGGGTCTAGGATGGGCCAGTGGAAGGGACAGGGGAGGGGTCTGGGAAGGGTCTAGGGTGGGCCAGTGGAAGGGAAAGGGAAGTGGTCTGGGGAGGGACTAGGGTGGGCCAGTGGAAGGGATAGGGGAGTGGTCTGGGGAGGGTCTAGGGTGGGCCAGTGGAAGGGAAAGGGAAAAGGTCTGGGGAGTGTCTAGGGTGGGCCAGTGGAAGGGAAAGGGAAGGGGGTCTTGGGAGGGTCTAGGGTGGGCCAGTGGAAGGGACAGGGGAAGAGATTGGGGAGGGTCTAGGGTGGGCCAGTGGAAGGGAAAGGGAAGTGGTCTGGGGAGGGACTAGGGTGGGCCAGTGGAAGGGATAGGGGAGTGGTCTGGGGAGGGTCTAGGGTGGGCCAGTGGAAGGGAAAGCGAAGGGGTCTAGGGAGGGTCTAGGGTGGGCCAGTGGAAGGGAAAGGGAAGGGGTCTGGGAGGGTCTAGGGTGGGCCAGTGGAAGGGACAGGGGAAGAGATTGGGGAGGGTCTAGGGTGGGCCAGTGGAAGGGACAGGGAAGGGGTCTGGGGAGGGTCTAGGGTGGGCCAGTGGAATGGACAGGGAATGGGTCTGGGGAGGGTCTAGGATGGGCCAGTGGAAGGGAAAGGGAAGTGGTCTGGGGAGGGTCTAGGTTGGGCAAGTGGAAGGGAAAGGGAAGGGGTCTGGGGAGGGTCTAGGGTGGGCCAGTGGAAGGGACAGGGAAGGGGTCTGGGAAGGGTCTAGGGTGGGCCAGTGGAAGGGACTGGGGAAGGTCTAGGGTGGGCCAGTGGAAGGGAAAGGGAAGGGGTCTGGGGAGGGTCTAGGGTGGGCCAGTGGAAGGGATAGGGGAGTGGTCTGGGGAGGGTCTAGGGTGGGCCAGTGGAAGGGAAAGGGAAAAGGTCTGGGGAGTGTCTAGGGTGGGCCAGTGGAAGGGAAAGGGAAGGGGGTCTTGGGAGGGTCTAGGGTGGGCCAGTGGAAGGGACAGGGGAAGAGATTGGGGAGGGTCTAGGGTGGGCCAGTGGAAGGGACAGGGGAAGAGATTCGGGAGGGCCTGTTGTTACCTTAGTGCCCCTTAAGAGCTTCCTGCCATCTTCATACATGACCTTGAGGGCCTCCACACTAGGGGCAGCAATGAACACGATGTAAGATGTGAACTCCGGTGACTTCAGCACTTTGAGAGACTGGAAGGATTTGAAGATTATAAGCAGGGTTGCATAAATTAAACTCACAATAGTAACTGGCCATTGCCTTGCATGAAATACACCACCACATGATCAGAGACAAAACATTCATCAATGGTTGCAAACGTGAACATCAACCCGGTCACAATGACCGGTCAAAGCCAGAGCGAGGAGTCTTCTTATCAGTTTATCTTACCAAGTGTTCATTGTCACTGAACTGTACACACTAAACATCATAGACACCCAACACCTGTTACAGTCAGTTCCTTTTGGATGAACATGAGCCACACTTGATTTTCTCTGGTCTCACCGGAAGCAGCAGGTGAAAGATTGACCAGAAAACCTTTCTGGACATGTGTGTGGATTCTTCACACAATGAACCATGTGGAAATCAAACCTGGGTATTTTGCAAGATGTGGCAATGTTTACTTACCATGTCTATTCTAAGTGTTACTGGTTCATATTGCAATTGTATTAACTAAAACATTAATCTATATTGATATAGTTAAGAAACAAGTCCCATGTCATTTTAGGCATTATGGTCATTGACATGCAATTTGGCTGATTACACCAATATTTAAATGTCTGTCAAACTTGTTCGGAAACTTACTTCAACTAAACTTTGGCCTCATTATTGATTTGGTTGACTTTCCGACTTTCTATCCATGGTGGCAATGCAAGCATTTAATTAGGTCAAAATTCGATCCATATATCATGTATATCATATAACGGAAAAAGTAACTGTACTTCTACTGAGTTCAATAAATTTATTTTGAAATCAAATAATGAATCTTTCAATAAATATTCATGAAGACATCTCGACTTTAAGGTCATGATTCACAACTTTCATGCACGGAACACAATTTGGATGTTTGTGTGTTTGTTGACACCATGATAATCACACACATGATTTTGAATGTGAACAGCACACAATTGGGAGTTATCACAACTCATCATTGTTAATTTGAATGGCGTATGCTACCAGAACGACATCTTTTAAGATCGTGTTCTATCCCTTGTGCAAATGCAGAGACGTAACGTCACATTGCAGCAGGATTGTGCCTTGCATGTGTTGTAACAGACTTTTTGAGACAGCATAACATTGTTGTACTGCCATGGCTGGCTGTCTTTGCAGACCTCTCCCCTATAGAACAAGTCTGGGATGAGATGGGATGAGATGGGATGAGATGGAGAGACATCTACGACAGGAACAGAACCAGCCGGTAACACGAGCTCAGTTGGGACAATCTTTGGTTGACATTGGTGTCTCAAATGCGCAAATGGTGGTCACAACCAGTATTGACATTGTTAATTGAGCTCTTACACCGCCCCTCTTTTAGGTAGTATCACTGTCTCCTGTTACCAAGTATGGTTTTGTCAATAAATTTGTTGTGATAAGCCATTGATCAGACAAATGACCAAATATTATGTTGCTATTTTCAATAACATAACATTTACACCACTTGATGTGAGGCACAGATACTTTTTCCTGTTATATGTCAAAATTATCTGGTGACAGATTATCAAACCCATAGGAGTGACTACCAAAATGTGAGGACAGAATGATGGATTATGGCTGGCAAGACAGTCGGCAGGCAATGGTATTGTATATGACTAGATGAGCTCTTTACACTTACTGTTGGGTTGACATCAAGCACACACATCTTTCCACTGCGGATAACATCATAGATGGACTCTATCTTTGTGCCATAAATGTTGCCATTGAATTCTCCATATTCAATATACTTGGCATCATTGATGTCAGCATCCATTGTCTCTCTGTCAATGAAATAGTATCCTTTTCCATTTTCTTCTCCTTCTCTTGGAGCGCGAGATGTGTCTGCAAATCAGAGATTGTCAAGATTGAAAGATCACTCCACACCAGTTTACAAGTTGGACAAATTAACTCAGCACTGGTATACAGTAAGCTTAAGATCTTAGAATGTGATCAAATTAACAAAATCTTAAATGAACCCATAACTTTGAATGTGACTGTGCAAGTGCAATATTCCAGCTATATGACGGTCTGTAATTGTTTTAATCGAGTCTGGACCAGACGATCCAGTGATTAATATCATGAGCATAGATGACAATGACATGCATCAACCAAGTCAGCGAGCCTGACCACCCGATTCCTTTACTCGCCTGTGCAAGTGAGTGAGTATAGTTTTACACAAATTTGAGCAATACTCCAGAAATATCATGGTTGGAGACACCGGAAAATGGGCTTCACACATTGTACTCATGTGGGGAATCAGACCCAGGTCTTCGGCAAGATGAGCCGACACTTTAACCTCAAGGATACAACCCCCTGCCCCTGACTATGCTAACAAAGAAACCAATGCTTGACTTTTCAAGGCTGTTTGGCAACAGTGGTGGCTCATTCGGACTCTTAATGAAGACTTGGATTTCACTCAGAAAGAATTGCCCATTGTTTTATATGTGTGAACTTACGCGGCATGACGGCACCAAATCGCTTTGGGTCATCCCTAATGAGGCGTTCTTTGAGCGAGCGACGACCCACCCCATGTGCTCCCACTAGCACAAGGATCCGACGTTTGAATGGTGCCATTCGAACCACTTCCTCATAGATCATAAGGTCGCACTTGTCAAACTCTGAAATACACAAACAAGAAAGAAGTGAGCAAAGCTCACATAACCCCGTTATTCCCGCTGGTCAACAACAAATAGTAAATAGTTTGTTAGTTAATGAAATATTACATATTTCTAACTGATTTTAACTTCAATGTTTTAAAAACTAAGATTGAGTTCCAGTGACAATTGACCCCCCCCAAATCTCCCATGTTACCAGTGTTCACTACGAGGAAGTAGATCACTATGAACACCTTTGAATAAAAATTTGATTGAGGAGTTACACAAGAAGAATTATCAAAAGGACCAAAAATTGTTGATATAAAAACACATAAAAAATGGAATAATATCATATAAAAAATCAATAAATTAATAATTTCCATCTAGCCTTAACAGATATGGTAAAGAATTCATAAATTCAAACTAACACAAAGCACAGATACTTATGATGATCTCCATGTGTGGAAATAATTTTGGAAAATATATTAGCTATACAAAACCAGTCATCAAAATTTCGAAATTCCATCATGTTTCCATGAAAACAGCAAAAGAGAAAACTTTCAGAATCTTATAAAAGATAAAAAAAACAATCATAGTGGTTAATGTAGCAAGTTTGCTGAAGCTAGGATACATAATATTGTAAACATGGATCGTACAAAAACTCTACCCAAAATTTATGTTTCACCATGATTCCATGGAAACGGCAAAAATAAAAAAAATCAGAATCTTCAACCTAGCAAAAGGCACAAGTACTCATTGTGGTAAATGTGTGTAGCAAGCTTGATGAAGCTAGGATGCATAGTTAAAAAAATATGGGCCGTACAAAACACCCACCCTAAAAGTTTAAGTTTCTTAATGTGTCCATGGAAACAGCAAAAATTAAAAAATTCAGAATCTTCAAACTAGCAAAAGGCACAGGTACTCATTGTGGTAATGTGTGTAGCAAGTTTGGTGAAGCTAGGGTGAATGGTTAAAAAGATATGGGCCGTACAAAACACCCACCCTAAAAGTTTAAGTTTCTTAATGTTTCCATGGAAACGGCAAAAATAAAAAGTTCAGAATCTTCAAACTAGCAAAAGGCACAAGTACTCATTGTGCTAAATGTTTGTAGCAAGTTTGGTGAAGCTAGGGTGCATGGTTAAAAAGTTATGGGCCGTACAAAAGCTCGGACGGATGGACGGACGGATGGACGGACGGATGAACAGAACGCTATATCCCCCCCGATTTACTTCTTAAACGGGGGTATAATAACATATACAGGTGGTTGTGGTAGAAGGATCATGATATTACATTCATCACATTCAAGTGAAATCCTCAGCCATCAAGTACGGAGAGTGTTGACATATAAAAGTAGGGGTCCAGGGGACCAGTAATAATTACTTTTAAAGTTATAGTATACTTTGATAATTACTTTAGAGCCTGGAATGAATCAATGATCATGTGGACAGTAGACATAATTGATGGATGAAATGACAGACACCCATAACTGCTCTTCATGCGCTGTTGGTACAATGACTATTATGGTGCCTCCATAAGGTGCAGTAAATTCCTTCTCTGTATCCTATCTCAACATTTGTGCGACACATAAAACCCTGTGTTTGTTCTTATTAGAAACATTAATGTAAAGTATGATGGCAGCTGACAGAGTACTACGTTAAAAGTTACCTTTACTGGCCTTGCTACTGTACTTGTACTTCTTCTTCTTCTTCCTTGTCAGACCGCACACTGCCAACACACAGATCATAGTCACAGACTGCAGTAGGCATAGGCACCAGGTTTCACATATACTGTCATTTCTTTTTCTTTAAATATCTAGAGCTAATAATGTCCAACAGTTTGATTTGTTTTGTTTGTTTGTTGTTTAACGCCACACTCAGCAGTATTCCAGCTATATGATGGTGGTCTGGAAATAATCGAGTCTGGACCAGACAATCCAGTGATTGACATCATGAGCATCAATCCACGCAATTGGGATCGATGACATGCATCAACCAAGTCAGCGAGCCTGACCACCCAATCCTGTTAGTCGCCTCTTACAACAGGCATAGTTGCCTTTTACGGCAAGCATGGGTTGCTGAAGACCTATTCTACCCCGGATCTTCACGGGTCCCAACAGTTTGATTACTACTTGAAGAGCATCTAAGGTTGTGAAGATACAGATCTGGAAGAGATTTCAACACATACAATTGTCATTGTATAACACCAGAAAACTAAAGATACGGCTCCAACAATTGCAACTTGAGACACTTGCATTTTTCAAACAAAGACAGTGTTGAGATGATTGTCATCTGATGATACAGATGTCATAACTTACATAAACTTCCTTTTGAATAGTCAAAGTCTGGCTGAACAAAAGCTTTCCTTTTTTCTTCCAATGACTGGGATGGGATTAACCCAGTGGGACCATTCGCATCAGCAATGCGGGCCTGAAACACAAGTTTCCTAAAGCCCAGTGTTTTCAACTTTCAAAGACAAAACGTTTCACATTTATCTTACTAACCTGGACAAAATTTTCAATAAGGTACTAACTGGTACCCATATAACAGCTGTGTCACATACATATAGAATAGCAATGCCAACTCCAAACTGAGGTAATTTATGAATATCTCTGATAACCATGATAATTGGCATTTGAAATTAGTGATAATAGAACTAATAGTAATCATTGTTCATGTATTAGCATGACATCTTTTGTATTGCATTTTTTCACCCAAACTCCTCAAACCTTCCCATCACTAGCTAAAATAAGTGATTATTAATTGATTATATATTGGTTGCATATGTGTGTCAAACTAATGTGTGTACATTCTACAGCAGAGTGGTAACCACAGTAACCTCAAGGAAGTACCCCTCACCTGCCACCAGTTGGGGTCTTCTTCATTGATAATCTCCAGTACATCTCCATCTTGGAAGGGAAGGCCAGCATCCTTGCATGGAATCAGTCGATCCTTCAGGGGGTCATATGAGAAGTGAGCCTTCATGTATTTCTGAAACAATATTTACAATTGTAAGTCTGTTAAGACGCTTAAACAGTTTCAGCATTTGGCTTCTAAACCTCAATGATGGACAAGTCTTTACAAGTGAGAATGGGTTTAGTGCTGCCTGGAACAGTGTAGCAGCTAACAAAGTATACTATTGCATGTGATGCACTTTGGTGAAATCAAGAAACACATGTAAGGTGCTAAAAAGGGCCCCGTTCCACAAAACAATCCTAGCGCTAAGATGATCGTAACTCCCATACTTTAACATACAATATAGCCTACAGGTAAGGAACACAACTCTGTAGAAGACAATAAACTATGTTATGGGAGGCACCCTTGGTGAGCATAATACATAACTGTTCTATTCCATATACATTTTATTTATGGTACAGACACATGATGGTAATAATCTCAGTGATCTCTTTATCCTATTCATATACTGCCGTTCTTAAAGTAATGAAGACTTATTTCACTCACTGAAAACCTGTTATGAATACGATAGAGCTTGAGCATTATTGTTATGCCATTCCAGTAAATGGCCTCATTTATCAACAAGAGTCATCAGAAAGATGACATATCCCCCCCGGCAGCTGTCTGTAAAGTAACCACTAGTAAATGTGCAATTCTGTATGTAATGAGTCAACAGTTGAATGTTCTTTAAGAAGCATATTGTTTACCCACTGAATGGTTTTCGAATTCTGGCCCGGAAACGAACCCGTTCCCCAATGGAGTCTAGGTCCAACTTCTTTCCATAAAAATTGTAAAAAATAAAAATTTGTATAAAAAAATAAATATCAAAAGGCACCACTTCGGTGCCCTGGAAACGAACCTCATCCGAAATTGAGTCTATGTCCAACTTCATTCCATAAAAAATTTAAAAAAATAAAAATTAGAAAAATCCCAAAATATCAAAAGGCACCACTTCAGTATGTGCCTGATAGATTTGCCAAGTTTCGATCAAATACACTGAATGGTTTTCGAATTCAGCCCCAGAAACGAACCCCATCCCCAATTGAGTCTATGTCCAACTTCATTCCATAAAAATGTAAAAAAAAATAAAAATTAGAAAAATCCCAAAATATATCAAAAGGCACCACTTCAGTATGTGCCTGATAGATTTGCCAAGTTTCGATCAAATACACTGAATGGTTTTGGAATTCTGCCCCGGAAAAGGAAATGATTACGGACGGACGGACGGACGGACAGACAGACTGGCTGATCGCTATATCCCCCCGCATGAAATCATGTTTATTTACCATGTTTACAGAAAGTCAGAAACAACCCTAGATTGAGGAAAGCCTTATCTAAACATATTGGGAAGATTATGTGACAGTGTTTGAGCAAGTAGGCATCACATGGATGCATTGATCTTATACACAAAGTACCTCCTGTTATCTGACTACATTCTCTTATTTATCACATTGTGATACCAAGTTTACCAAGTTTATCATGTTTATCACATCGCTAATACCATAGATCTATTATATGATGAACCATGAACTCTAATATATCTACACGACCAATATTTCAGTGTAGAATGCTGAAACTATATATATAGTACCCTCAAGGATAGGGTGTTTACTCTCCCTGGAGTGTTTTATTGTACAATAAACCACTCCACTCGTCAATTATTTCTTAATCAAATAGCATAATTAACAAGTGCGCCTCATCCAATAAAACACACACAAACCCTTTTTCTTTCTTCATAATCCTATTTTAGAAAAAGTTAAATTCTCTTAATAAAGACCAGTTGGCATCCTTAAAATCTGATACTAATCCTAATGGACTAGAGTTTCAGCAACATCACTGACCAGCTCTGGGTTGGCATGGTCATTGTAGGATGGTACGATCTTGAGCATGATGTTGCTGTCTGCGTCCATGATGATGTCCATCAAGTGTTCCGGGGTGGCCACTGGATAGCCATTCACATCACGAATGATATCGCCAACTCTTAACAAGCCTGAAATAACATAAAATGGATTCAATGTAAAACAAAGAAAACTCAGTTCCATCAACCAAGAAGCTTGCCATGCTAGCCACCATGTTTGTACAAAACATTAATTTGTAATATACATCATTGATTTGATAAAACACATCCTGTTACATACAGAATTATTTCAGTTCAATGTCTTGCAGAAATGTTAAAGGAGTTCATTCAACAAATTGAAACAAGTAAATTGAAGACATTGAAGACATCACATATGCAAGCTTACGCTTAAAAAAATAAAAGAATTTGTTCTCAGGCAATGGCTTTTGAAAATATGGTGCGGACGGGCGTTCTTTTTTAATTTATTTTTGCTTGTTAAAACCAGTATGTAGCCAAATAAACAGTTGTGCACCATCAATCTGGGAAAGGGCCTCCCTACACAATAAAAATACAAACTCTTATTGCTGCCATGGCCATAACATGAGATGTGCAGTAAAGCAGCGAGAATGCAAAGGGAAGTAACTGTGTGCTATTTTGGATCTCATCGTTTTTAGGTATTAGGATTTTTTGTTTGTTTTGAAAACGGAAATTTAAACGAAATGTGTGGCAGACTTTATGATGATGCCAGCGGTGCCTGAGAACCAAGACTATTATTTTTTTAGCCTTAGCGGTGAGTGAACTTATTTTACAATGCACTGTAAAATCCCAGCCATCAAAACCAAGTTTAGTATGGACCAGCTGAACATTATTAACACTACTCTGCATTGTACACAATCAACCAATCATTGTAACCATCGGATCCCTTAATCAACAATCATTGTGTTCCAAAACCAGTTCTCAGAATCTCCACAGAGTACATATGACAGACATGGGTCTGAACCTGGAACATGACTGTGAGAACGAACACTCTCCCCATTGAGCCCCTCAACATCTAGTATAACAGTGTCAGTGTTACCTTGCCGGTCGATGACACTATCAGACAGGATCCTGGCTATCACAAGGTCATTCATCTCATCCAACTTGACAGTAATGCCCTGGGAAACACACACAAACACATGTACCTCTGTATATATTTGTGAAAACAAGCAGGCAAACCTGCATTTCTGGTCATAACATGTGGCTATATGTTTGGCATGTTACCTACCATCGTGTAAGTCAGTGGACAATATGACCTCATTTTTAAGAAAAACGCCAATAACTCATCTTGTACAATGTTGTAACCATTTATTGTTTAATGTGACCACAATATAACATGATATAATCTTAGTAACTTATAATGATAAATTTGTTACACGTGTCCCGTGTTTGAAATTGAGTTTGTAAATTGACAGTTAACCCATTATCATGATTATACCCCCTTCTGTACCAGCACATCTGCAATAGGGACTAAGGAACAAATGCAGTGCGATATAATATCCTACAAGGTAATGTAGAAACTGAAAATTGCCAATACATATTATTTCAATATCTGCAAATGATTTTAAAAACAGTCTCTTCAATTCTTACATAACAATACAAACAATACTGACAATACCTTAACAATCACCCTGCTCACATAGACATGACAACCTGAAGTACCTTTCAACAATATGTTTGCTATATTATAATGCCCAATGACCTTGCTGTATTTGTCAGCCTGGAACAAGTCTAACTTCAGGTTCTTACCAGCGGTTCTGTTGTGGATTTTCTGATGGTGACGAATCTAATCTGTTCTGTGATGGCATTAAACACTGGCGGTGGTGGGGCATCGAGCTGCATTGTGTCAAACACATCATCACCATACTGCTTGTCTGCCACTTCGTCATGGGCTCGCATTAATGCCTGAAACAGATAGTTCATCCAATCATTGTTCAGATTACAAACTTACCAATGGGAATCCAGGGGTCAAAGTACTAATGTTATTAAAGGATATCAGGGGTCCATAGATAAAATAGAATAGAAGAAACCCTCAAGGACCCCCTCAAGTTCTAATACTGAAGTTGAACATAACGCACACAGTTGAGTTGGCCAATACGCCTATATTATCATGGCAACCAGCAAATAGTTATCAAACTTGGAAACTTGCCCAGTAATTAATGTATGTAATAGACAGGTAACTGCTGAGAATCTGTTTTCTCAGGTATCCCCATTTCAAATAACGACTCACAATCAGTAACAAATTGCCACCTAATTCCCATTAAAATCATGTTGTCCAAAAGCATAGAGAATGTGGGACTTCTTTAGATGATTATGTCTGAAGCAAGTTGGAGGGCATTGGGAATCTATTTTTGTCCAGGGGTCACCATGGGGGAAGAGAGGGGGAAGAGAGGGGGAAGGCAGATGACCAGCATCAGTATACCAAATCTGCCTGGTTTATTCCAGTGGAGCAACAAGTCTTTGAAGGTGGGGACTCACTCTGAAGTGAGGGTTCTGCATGATGTTGTCCAGTGCTGCAGCCTCCCTGCTGTCCTTGTCGCGGTTGTTGTCCAGGACAAACTGTACCTCCTTGGATATGTCACTTGCTTGCAGCGTCTTCGGCTCTCTTGTCTTGCGCTCTATGTTTTCCTTTGCCTAAAACGAAATGAAGGGTTGAAATTTCAACAATGAGTAAGATAAATATGCATCAACAGAAACAATAAAAAACTTTGTGTTAAGATGAATAATTGTTTGATATGATCACTACTGAGGACAAGTTGGGTCTAAAGTAGTTGCAAGTTATTAATTAACATTTCCAATCATCAAAACAAATGGAATCTGACAAGTTATTTTACCTGAACCATTCCAAGTAGAGCAGGGTCCTGGAGAAGGTCCTTGAGGAAATCCAGGTCATCAGCCTGTGCTCCATTGTCCATGAGGACATCCATTGAATCACACAGTTCCTGTATGGCATCTGAGCATCAATATGGAAACATGGAGTAAGTAAGAGATCAGTGGTATTTTATAAGTCAGCATCCAGTCATTTGACCTGTATCTGGCGGAAACAAGGCTGTTCATAATGAGATTACTCAGTAGTCTCTCTTCTAAGAGCTATCCATGCACAGCTCTCTTCATCATCTTGTCCGCATACCTCTTACGCCATGTGATTCAGTGTATGCAGGGATAGAAAAAAAATAGATGTCAAAGTGTGCAACAACAGACCTTCCAATAAGAACCAGCAGAGAGCAACCAAACCATGGAATACATACACTTTAAATAGAAATAGCCATATAAATTATAAACAAGACACAATCCCCCAAAAGTGTCCATCGTAATGATTAAAAGCTGCCACATTTTCAACAGAGCCAAACACAGTAAATCATGCTGACCGTAACAAACTGAGTGCACTTCTGATTCAGGAATGTGGCAATGATGGAAAAGGAGATCTTTCAATTCTTTCCACACATTACCACACTACTGGTAACCATAGAAAGAGCATACATTCCGTGTTCACAGTAGAACATTTTATTGCTTCTGCAGGCTCTTGTTCAGTGAGGGCAACATGACCATGGCAGGTGACACCAAGATTGGACTCATACATTTTGCCATGTGGGGCAATCTAACCACTGCTAACCCTGGTGTTCCACGTGATGAACCAATGATTCATCCACAAGCCTACCCCACCATGCTAAAAATGAGTGAGTGTCCACAAATTGGCAAAATATATATTGAAATCACAAACATCCAAAGTTGAAGAGGTCCCTACCTTGGCCTGCTGAATTTTCCATAATGGCAGCTGGCATGCTGTCTCTCCTCCGTCCCTTTCAATGCTGTCTGAAACACAGAACACACAGTCTAAACCCAGGCACAGCTTTTGTCTCAGCTTGCTTTCACCTGTTCACTGACATTTTGTATCATCAAGACCTACTGCCTATAAATAGTCGTGATGTAAGCCACAGTAAGGCTCTGCAACACTGGAGTAAAACCGTAAGATAAGTGTCACAGAAGGCCTTGCCATTGACAAATATTGACAAATGTTCTTGGACTCTAATCTAAGTGTTAACATCAAGGTGTAATATGGTAAATCCTTAGAGAGAATTCCACAGAAGCCTTCATCATAATAATCAGAAGCGTTCACGGCATGCATGTTCACACTTGGAAACAGGAACCATTGAGTTGCTGTAGCAAGAACTCAGATCGAGACATGGCTGCCAGGGAATTATAGAACCATTTTTTTTTAAAGAAACATGCCCAGCAGGTATAAGGGATATAGACAGAACTTTTGTGGATATCCACTAGTACAGAATAATATAAGGCATTGGTACAGAAACAATTAGGGGTCAGCTGAGAAATTGTATTTGGAACATGAAAAAACACACATTCGGCATGTCAGGAATGCCAAGAAAAATAATTCTATTTAAGTGTCTGTTTGAGAAGGGGAAGAGAGTGGAATGCGGTGAATGTTTGATAAAATTATGACCTTGGGTCTGTAAGCGAGATTAGAATCAAATCAACAACTGGACTACACACTTCAGTTTCAATTTATTCAGCTATATCATTGTTTATCATGCTTATGCATATTTACAGATAGCTCTCTATATCATTCTATTCTAGACAGTGAACAAATAAATGTTGATGTATGACAAAAACGTAATCTAAAATACTGCAGATTTATGATGACCTCTAAACAATGTAAACATGGTAAAGTAATCAAGTTTGGCTCAGAAAAAAACCAATGATCAATATTGAGAGCAGCAGCTGTGTGGGTAGTTTGAGACACACAGCAGTGAGCTTGTCTTCATTTGTTGTGCACTGACACAAGCTGTCAGAAACTACTGAATCCAACTTTGTGGAATGGAGGAACCAGTGGTCTTCATGTCTTAGGCACCACAATTCACAATGCAGCTTTGCAGCTCGAAGATCTACCTGAATCTGATGGTCGTGGGTTTAAGTCACAGATCTAGCTTGAATTAGAGCTTTGGTTTTGTCGGCACCATATCTGTGCTGATGGGTTTCACCAAAGAGATAAAGAGCTAATGACCTGTATTATTTGCATTACTTTGAAATTCCATCCTACATCAAGCGGACACACTGAAATCCAGTTCAAACCAGAGTTAATGCAACTCACTAATTATTGCAACCTTGTTCAAAATACAACATGACTATCTGGTGTACTCTTTTCTTTCTTTTTAAAGGGCATGTAAAGAGAGAAAAAATTAAGTCACTTCCCAAGAAAAACAAGTATGAAATACTTATATCCCCCGGCAATATGACATGTCCGGTTGTGTGCAATGCATTAGCTCCTGTGAACTATGTTCACTGGGCCTTTTAGTAAATGGCATAATTGCAGCACTAAAAAAAGTTGTTACTGGTGTTGTTTTGCCATCTGCAGTTTATGATAGAATATGTAACTGTATTTGTAATAAGTAAGGATGAGACATATGGACAAACAACTTCTTTATTACAATTTGGATCGATGGTTTCAGTGTAGGTTCTAACACCGTTATCAAGCAAGTGAAGTACAGAGTATGGTTGACAAGAATATATACAGGATAGGAGGCAGTGTTTATACCATGTATACAGTTGAGTAGGTTTAAGATCAGTTACACTGTTGTATTTGTAACGAGTTGTGTTTCTGCATGAAGTTAGTCAGTGAATGCAACAACCGTGTCCACGACACTTTTGGAAGAACATACACACAAAAGCAATGCAGGACTAACCAACAAGAAAGGAAATGTATTCAATACTGCTAGATGACATTATGGGCCAAGTTTGGTGAAGAAATATGGTACGGTTTTCAAGATCTGCTCCGGAAACAAGGACTACCGCCATTTTCAGTCTAAGTCAAAGTCGTTGCCATGGAAACTCAAACATTTTTTTTTTTAAAATCCCAAACTATCAAAAGGCACCAGTTCACCACTAGACCTATCCATGTGCCAAGTTTGGTGAAGAAATATGGTACAGTTTTCAAGATCTGCTCCGGAAACGAAATGTGACGGACAGACGGAAGGAAGGATGGCACCAATTCCTATATCCCCCTTTGACTTCGTGGAACCTTTGATTGTGACATAGTGAATAATTAAAAAAAACACTTATTTTCTGCAACGTGCTATTTTATCACTAACATCCTGTTTTGGTACCATGAAAGATGACTTCCTACTTGTCTAGCAGCTGGACAAGGGATAATCGTGTATTTAAGTAACATACATCCGTACACCCAGTATTCATTTACTTTAAAATATAAAACAAACAATTAATGAAAAGAGTAAGCTGTGTACAAAGTTTGTTTTATTTGTCCAATTTAACATTTACATCATTGACAAACAGACTTGATATGAAACAGCATTGTGATAATTGTTCACTGGATTGCTCCCCTGAGAAGACAACTGCAGGTATCATCAATGTTGTTACTATTAATGTGTAAGTTGACATGATACTCTAAGTTGTGGATACAGTAATCAGGAGAATGAGCAGACAGAAAAAGCCAGGTACGGTGATTACAAAATCCGAGGTGGAAGCAGGCAGACTGGGTGTTGGTCCGATTGTTAAAATTGTGCACCCTGTTAATCCCATTTTATCCCCAAGTGGCAGATTTATTCGTGTGAGTGACGATCTCGCCCTTTTTTAAATTTAATTTTGGTCAAGCATTTGTGATCAGGTATGCCTTAAAGTATTAAAATCGGCAAGGTTTCTATGTAGAGTTTACTTTCCTTCAAGTTACATAGGAGCCCCTACATTCAAATACACCAGGAACAAAACCTGAGGATCACAGCAACCACTACACTCAATCTCTATTTTATCATGTCCAATGATAAACATGGTAAACAATCCAGCCACTCAGAATAACTGCAGGGATATTCCGGGAGTAAAGTCAAGTTCCTATCCGCCATTATCCTCCTACTTGAAAGGAAGGACTCGGGTAGCACGTCCATATTAATTGTTATCTGCAGGTGAACTGATAATGTTTTTATGCTGCTTAAAACCTTCAAACAGAAATATTTTAAATATTGTCCTGTGATATATATGTCATACAATTTACTAATACCAATTAGTAACAGCTTGTGAATGTCAATAATTATTATGCACAAGTGTTTTAAATGCATGATAGCGTTGATTACCTGATGACAATGATAATATGACATGATGTTCTAAAACAGGAAAAAGTTGATGACAACTTACTTGTCTAAATCAGTCAGCTTTTTATTCTCTGAATGATGTTGTTGAATTGTTTGCCAAATGCCACTGAGTATAAACATGATAAATACCATCTGTGTCAGGACTTTTGTTTACATGGCTCTCAAAATACAAGTCAGCCCATACATGCTATAGGCTATACCTTTCTCAACATATACAAATACGTCTGCCTGATGGCTGCCCTTAACAAAATACCATGGTATTCTTTGAGACCTCAGCCTTGTTGTTAGGTGCCATTAGGCAGAATAAACAAACATTTCCTTTGTCTTCTTGTAGGCCCTGTAGTTTCAAGGTAACATCTCAAACCCTGGACACAAAGATACTTGAAATTAACGCAAGCGTGAATTAAATGCGAAAAATGCGAGTGGTCTTTGCTCGCATTATTAAACATCGCATTTATATTAACAATAAGACATTTTGGATAGCAGAAACATCAACTTAGACATACGCTGAAAACAAACAACTATGTATACAACATCACTGTTTATTGAGCAGCACTTGTAACAAGTATATAAACAATGTCATTCAAACACTAATTACATCCTGTGAATTGTCACTGACAACAGTTCTACTCACTTATGTCATCACTGATCACACCTGCAAGTCCAGACAGACGTCACCCACGCAACACAGTGTCTTTGTTCTTTGCGACTGAGTCAAAGGCCGACACGAGCCAGCGCGCATGTATTGTTTTAGCGGAAGTACTCCACTCAGCACTAATAAGCGGTGCTATTTGGTGTATGATTGGATTAATGTAAGGTTGGATTAAGGTGAGGATTCTCCTGTAAACCTGACAGAGGACGTTTTCTTTTGATGCTTGAGAGGAGGAGGGTGTAACATTCATATTGAGTCATATTTTTGGCTATGGACCAGCGGTTGCATTCTCTAGGAGATGCATTAATTTCACGATTTAAGTAAATCCTCTTCATCTCCCTGTCCCTAAAACGTAGAGAAAGATAGCAGAGTGAACCAGCAGTAGTCTCCTGAATCTTGGCTAAGAAGACCCACAAGACCCAGATGCACCTTCCAAAAGGGCCTGCCAAACTGTACTTTTAACATGTGTACCTCGCCACATGCCAATGTGGCAAAGGCAATCAGAAACAGTAAGAAACTGTAATGATGATGCTGCTGGTGGCTTGCAGGGAGTGGTTGTTAAATGTTGCAACACCACACCTAGATCCCATGCAGGCCTGATCCTCAAAGAGAAAGCTCTCTAGCATCGCTGTTATCTCTGGAGCAATGCTAATCTTCTTTGATCTGGATGCAGTACAGAGTAGATAGCTGCAATAAGTCCAGTTTCCACCCTTGCAAAACTAGGCTGGAATTCCTGGGCTCGATCTTAGCGCCACCAGTGGCTTTTTCGAGTTATGTCCCTTCTATGCCTCTCCTATGGACCAATCAGATTCCACCTCTCGTATCACTTGCATTTGCTTCACACAAAATGGTGGTGCCCAGTCAAGACGATCTGATGGACAATCAAGATCTGAATTGAGAGAAAACGGGTCTTACATCGCGAACTGCATCAAATCACGTGAGAACCTTGAGTAAAAACTTAAAAAGATTTGGAAAATATCTGTTGACAGCGAGTTGGCGGTGCACATGCTTTGCAAATCTGCAATCAACCAAAATCTGCATGACAG